TATGGACATCTTGGTCATCTGGCGCAAGATCCTCCTGAATGATGACGTTGAGCTGCTTGAGGCGTTGCGCGATTCGATGATCTGGCGTGAAGGCGCCTCTGAAAGCTCACTGCAGTCGACTTTAGATGCTTCTACTCAACCGGCGAGGCCGGCTAGCGTGATACGACATGAACTGGGCTATGAAGCTGGGATCACAAAGGCTACTTGCGATTTTGAGGCTGCTCAGGGTGTCTCTCAGGCTCAATTGGCCGAGCTGTTTTTCGACTGTTACGAGAATGGCACTGGCGTCTACTCGTACATCCAGGCCAACTACCATTCTGCCTTGAAGGCAGCTGATTTTCGCACACTGTTGCGAAACCTCACAGGTCTGCGAAGGTTCCGAGGTCTGGCGCTCGACGGTGCCACAATCTTGGTGCCGGTGCACAACACTCTTGTCTTTTTGGCCGTCATAACGGGTCGGTTTCGTGTAGCTGAGCAGCTTCTTCGGATGCGTCAGTTCGACATCATTCCAATGTGTGTTTTGACGTCCCTCATCTTGCGCAGGCTTTATCATGAGCCCGGCTTTCCTGATCAGGTGAGTTGGAACGACATCCTCCGCCATTTTTCTCTTCAATTGTCTCGAGTCCGTCCATATTATTCGTCCTACTTCATCATACTTTATTTAGATGGTGCTGGCTGTCGCAAATACAATGGTTATTTGCTGGGCCGCCCAGCCAAATCATGAGCATTTTGCCGATATATTAAGCCAAAATTTTAAAGGTATGGGCTGTAAATGACCTCAGCTTTCTCCATATCATGGAATGACCATTTCTCTTTACCATATTCTTACTTACAGTGACTAACAGCGTCTGGAGAGCAACATTGTGTGATTTGAATGCTTCTGCTTTTTTTACCAGCATAACAATCGAGGTGCACTTATTCTGAACTAAATTTTACAGAAGTGGGTTGACCTCATTGTCGCAACTTGGTCTTGTGCTCAGGGAGACTATGTAGAACGCATCGAGTTCGAAGTCGTCTGCCATAGTAGTTGTCTTGATTCCCAGCATCTGACAGTGGACTTGGTCTTGTTTTCAGGGAGACTGTGTATCAAGTCAACTGTCAGATGCTGGGAATCGAGACAACTATTATGGCAGACGACTTCGGACTTGGTGCGTTCTACATAGTCTCCCTAAACACAAGACCAAGTTGCGACAAC